GACTTCGATGGAGCCTTCATGTTCATGTGCAAGTGCTTCAGTCGAAGGGGTTGGGTTTCCATGATGGTCTCCTGTAACTGCCCAGTCCCAACACGGCATCTAAGATTTGCAGGGTTTGTTGCACTTCTTGTGTCCAGCATCACTCGAGTCGCAAGGGACGGTCACGGAAAAGCTGAGGCCCAAGGAGGATTCCGATGCAGACAAATCATGTCCATGTTGAAAGCAGTGCATTCTCGAAAGCAGCACTGCGGAGTTTATTTTTTTCGGAAACCTGGCTCCACTCACTCGATTGCCTCAGTGCGTTCTTTACGTTTCTGAGTGGTTCTCCACGCTTTTGGTGGGTGACGTCAAGTGGATTGTTGAGGATGTATAGGCTTTCGGCCCACGCGTGAAGCCCGGCGCGGGTCCTTTTCTAAGGCCCGCGGACGTTTGCAACTCGGAATAAAAAAAGTGGATGACCTGAAGAAAGCACTGTGCTTAGAGCTTGCACGCGGATTCAGCTCGTGCTGTCTTCGGTTGCAAAAGAAGGCGATGACTAAGATTGAAGTTTTGAGTGTCCCAAAGTTCATGTTCCGCCTGCCAATTTGTACATGTTGTACATGTCCTGCGGTGCCCTGGCTCCCTGACCTTGCAGGACGACAATGGTGGCTTCCAGCTCGTGGGCAATGCTATTCCAATCGACCCGGTGCCGCAAAACATTGCACTCCAGACATGTATTAGTTGAATGTCTTTTGATTGCGCGCCTTTTTGTGTGAACTCGAAGTTTGATAAGATGCTGTTCTTAGCTTGAGTGCTGTCAGGCATACCTGAAGAAAGTGCGGACCTCAAGCCGAATTTAGCTCGTGCTGTCTGAGCTGATTGCAGTAGGGCGATGACAAAGACTGAAGTTTTTGAGTGTCCATGTTTGCACCCATGAAATCAGGCAATCAGATTTTCCAGTGAGCCTTTCTGAGCATTGCTTGAGGCTATCAAGAAGAAGAAGCAAAACCGAGTGACGTGCGATGCAGATGAAATTGACCTCTACAGCCGGAAGGAGAGCTTTTGATGTCAACTCTCCCACCTAGCCCTCCCTGTGCCGCTGTCTCAGCGTGACTTCGCAGGACAAGGAGTGGGTGAAGGAAGACACGATGTCAGCAAGACTGCGAGACACAACTGAGCCCAGCGCTTGGTTTCGACGCCTTTTCAGCTTAGGGGGGTTTTGCCGCCGCCCCGCTCGCAGGGCAAATTGCTATGGGTTCACGCTGCCACCAGCGGACGACGCTTGAGTTGCGCGCGTGTGCCTCAGCGCCGGAGTTTGAGCGCTGCGAACTTGCATCCGTCCTTGTTGTGTGAGCTTCTCGGCTCTGAGGTAGCAGCAGCATCACTGACGTTTTTTTGCGCTGCAGCTTTGCTTGACTTCCAGGATTAGCAGACAGCAGTTCAACGCTCACATTCCTTGAGCAGGCTACGGCGTTCAAGTTTTCAAGTCAAGCGGGGCGTGCAACGGGCACAGGACCAGCGACACAGAGGCCAGTGCTGGTCAAAAGCAGTTTCACAGAGGCGCTCTTGGTCGTGCTTAAGTGCACAGACGCGATCAATCCATTTGAAGAAATCTGGGGGAAGAGCGCTTGCGTTGCATTGCTCAGCCAGTACTCACCTGCCAGCATTATGTGGAACGCTTCAAGCATGACAGTAATTTTGTGCAAGTGTTGTCCAGCCCTGCCATTCTTCAACTTTGAGTCTTACTTGTTAACGTGATTTTTCTGGCTGATTCGTGAATGAAATTGGAGAATCCGTGCTCGCAGCTGTGCGGGCTCTGGGTTTGACTCGTCAACCTTGCGACGTGCATGATGCAAATCGTCCATGTTTGCAAGTGACGTGCTTCGAACGTGCAGCAAATAGTGAACGATCTCTACTTCGAGGCCACATCAGTTCTATGTTAGCCTGCTTGTCCAGCTGGCTGCTTAAACAATCTGCATACTTTGTTGTCTTGAGCCTTTCGCACGCGCAAGGAAACATAAGCCGCTGCTGAAAGATAAGCGGGTGCAGCGTCAGCGATGAAGGGCGCACTGCTTTGCACTGCAGTCTGACACCACTCATCGCTATGGCCCTTGTCACTGATCAGTGTCTCACACAGACAGCTACGGCGACCAGAGGCAAGCGACCGGGAACAAAACAGGAAGGATTCGCCACTCAACGGCATTGAGGCTAACCAGCAGTTAGCCGCAACAAAACTAGCAAACAAAACTGAAACATCAAATCTGAGAATACAGGTTTTGACCTACAGGTGCGATTGCGTTCTCTGCGGCTGCTCAAGCATGAACTTTGTGCCCCAGGTCTTGGGTTTCATCCATTCGGGGGTGTCTTCCAACTGGTGGGGTCTTTGGTGTCCTGCTCACTGCTCTGGATCCACCGCCCTCTTGGCTTTCTCCTTTGCCTCGGGCACTCTTTTTGGCATTCTTCTTGCTCTTTACTTCTTCCGTGCCTCACTCTTTCTGCCGAGCCCTGCAGCTGCATTTCCCAGGCCTGAGACCTCCCGCGCTGAGGCCCCTTCGCAGGCCTCTACTCCTCTCCGTTTGCGCAAGTACTTGCATGGGCCAGAGTGAGCTCTCACGAGCATTTGAGCACCTTTCCGAGGCTTTGAGGTTACTGCTGCTTCGGCGCCAGGCGGTGCTTTTCCTGCTGCACAGGGTTCCCCTCATCCCCCTAGCCCTAGTGGTTCTGTTGGGATATAGTAGGCCCTATTGCAAGCCGTGAGCTCGGGTCCCGTGGAGCTCCGGCGCCCCCCTCCACGCACCACAGCACCTCATCCCGCCTCGTTACAACGAAGTCGAGGCTTCTTTCCCTGCCGCGCTTGCTCATTGCATTGTTCTTCGTGCCCCTGGCCCTGACTCACCCGTTCGGTCCCCAAACGCCGTCGCATTCAGGAGAATCGTGGGCGCACAGGAAGACTCAGACATCTTGTGCCACGCAGCCGGCTTGCCATTTCCGCTCGAGCAACCATGGATGCCACTCTCTTGCCTTCCCTCGCCGAGGGCCAGTTGAACCTTCACCTTCTCCGCTGGACGGGGGAAGGAAAATCCTCCCTTTTGGAGGCTGCGTACGCTGTGCCGGTGCTTTCCCGGAGCGAGGGGGTCATTCTTGCAATTCCTCCCGGCTTCCTGGCTCCAACCCTCCTGGCTTTCGGGCATACCGCTCACGAAGACAGCCTTGTGGGGCCCTCAAAGCTTCTGACCGTACCATTTGCCGTGACGGACGAACTGGGAGCAGAGAGCCTGCTCGGCATAGATGCGCAAGTCCTTGTGTGCGATTTCGGGGGTGGGGTCATAGAGCTTCTTCAGGAATATCGCGAAGAGACGGATCTGACAGACTGCCTTTTGTTCTTGGAGGATCACCCAGATGCACTGCCAGTGGGGCCGGCCCTTCTCACTGCCACCAGGGCCTGGATAGCGGAGGCTGCTGGGGACCGCGTGGCTTTCTACTCTGCAGTGGAGGAGCAAGCCGACATGGCCCCCAAGGCCAAGGCGAAACAGCAAACCAAGGCCAAGCGCCTCACAACGGCTGCCCTTGCAGAGCAGGTCGCTGCAGTGACGGACCTGCTTCCCCAGATTGGAAAGCAGCTTGCAGCTTTGCAGAAAGGTCAGCAGGATTTGGAGGCCCGCCTTCCTGTGTCTATGGAGCCGGCTCAGTTAGGGCCCTCTGCAATCTCTCAGATGCGCTTTCCGAGTGTGCAGCCAAAGCCCCCCCATCAGTAGCCTTTCCAGCTTTCGGGTCTAGGTGTCCCCCCAAGCAAACCTCATAGGACCGCCACCCCGGACAAGGGAAGCTCTTGATTTGGGGGCAGGCGTGCCACTTCAGGACGAGCCTGCGGAGCAGGGATATGGGATGCCTCCGGAGTCAGCCGAGTTTCCCAGCATGCAGGCCGCAATCATGCAGCAGACACAGGCGCTTTCTGTCCTCATGTCCCATGTCCTCTCCCAAGCAGACGGAGGCTTAGCCGACCTGGCGTCCGGATCAGGCTCTTCGTCCTCCTTGGCCTCTCGGGAAGCAGCAAAGAGGGAGCAGCTCCAGCAAGCTCTGTCCAGCCGGACAGGGAACTTCTTCCTTCAAGTCATGCAGCAGGTTTCTCGGCGGCTCAATCCTGCAAGCGCAGCGCCCCAGAGCCTCGCAGAGCTGCAAGGCAGCCCGATGATGTGCCGCTACTTGGAGAGATTCGGCGGATACGCCGGCCAAAGGGAGGCCGGATACCTAATGTGGATGCTGGCTCACGTGGCAGATGCTTTGCTCCAAGACGATGTCCCTGGAGCCCGGGAGCATTTGGCTTTGTGCTTGGTGTGTCTCGACCAAAGCGTGCTAGATGGGGGCCGCTGGGACCTTGCCTACATGATGTCTCTTCTGGACGAACCACCAGGCCAGATGTTCTTGCCCCGCCAAACTGCAGCAAACCCGCGGTCCCGGGCTTTCTCTCCCCTGTCGCCAGTTGGCTGGGCCACGACGTCTCTCCAATACTTGAAGGAAATCGACCTCATCAACACCAGGCGTTTGGAGAGCCTTGGTGGCAGTGCCAGGAACCCATCCTCGCCCCCGACAGCCGATGCCAGTCAGGATCCTGCAAACAAGCCACCGCGACGGCCCCGTTTCCCTCGAAAGCCAAAGAACGAGACGGGGGCTGCGTCCAAATAGCCAGGCCTGTGACCCGGCCACCGCCTGGCCTTGTTCATGCCAACAAAGGGCCCCTTGACCATCAGCCGGACACTTGGTTCACAACGAAGGTGTCTTTTGCTACGTGGGCTGGGGGTCTTCTTCGGGGAGTGTTCTGTTCCCGAACCACTTTTGCTTCCTTTTTGAAGTCAACTTTGCATCTGAACAGGCTCGTTCCTGACAAGCCTTCGTGCCGCGCAGCTGGTCTTGTGTTCCCGCTTCCGGTGCCAAGCCCTGGGGCTTTTGAACCTTTTCCTTTGGGTTTGTCTTCCCGGACTAGGAGACGCAGACTGCACAGGCGTCTCTTGCACGTCGTTGTTATGGCCCTGAACTTCCTTCACAACGATTTCGTGCCAATACCGCTGGCCCTTTTGCAGCGGCCACCTACCCAGGTGCAGGTTCGCCTCACGTCTTCCGTGGGTAGGCTTTTGAAGGCTTTCGGTGCCTCTGTTGGCGAGGAGCTCCTTGTCAGCACAGGCCGCCGCAATCCCCAATTGGTTGCACGCCTTTCTGAGTTGATCTCGTTGTTGACTACCATCAGTCCCAAAGGCTGCGATGCAAGGGAAGGTGAGAAGGTACCGACTGATCCGTCTGTGCTTCCCGAACTCGAGCCTTACAGGCCCCTTTGTGCTTCAAGGCTGAAGCTTTCTGGCCGCGGCCAGTTTGACGCTCGGCCTTTCCTCAGCCCAAACCTCTACATGGCTTTCTGTAAGCCTGATGCTCTGCTGCACACCGGCGTGCCTCCCACTGATGTCTTTGCTGATTGGACCAAAGAGCGGCCCGAAGAGGTCGCGGCCTTGGCCAAGATCTGGGATTCAAAGGGCTTGCTGCATCTTAGGCCCTCCAACGTACCTGCCTCTTTGAGCCATCACGTTTCGCGGGCTTTTAACTGCTACAAAAGCCCAGAAAAGGATCGACAGATCATTGACAGAAGGGGTCGAAACTGGTGTAAAGGCAGGGTTTGCGGCCCATCCGCAATCATACCGGTAGGGCCCCTGCTGTGCCAACTTGAGGCCCGGCCTAGCCGCGAGACTGTCAGGATTTCAATAACTGACAGGCGTGACTTTTACCATCAGTTTTGGGTGCCAGACCGGCGCGCTGAGACAAACATGCTGGGTCCCGCTCTGCCGCGTAGCATGCTGTTTGGCACGGCTGCACTTGAGAGGTTCGAGGCCCAGCGTCCGCTTTCTTGGGGAAAAAGACTGCGCGAGGTCAGAAGCGACTTCCTTCACGAGGAGCCTGCTAAGGATCGCTTGGAGCCTTTGTTGTTCAACTCCGATCTCTTGGTGCCTTGCTTCAAGGCCATTGCTCAAGGGGATCATATCGGTGTCGAACTGGCCTCGGATGCGCATGCCTCTTTGCTCGCTAGCCACGGTCTCCTCGGTGAGGGCGACCGTCTTTGTTCCAACAGGCCTTTCAAAGGCAGCACAGAGGCTCAGGGCCTAATAATCGACGACTTCTTTGTGGCCTCAGTCTGCGATGCTAGCTCCAGCAGTGAGCCGGCGTGCGTTGCCAAGCTGCGCTTGGCAAAGGAAGCATATGCTTTGTACTCCCTCGAAGGCTCCGATGACAAAGACGTGTGGGGCGGAGATTGCGTGAGAGTCGCTGGGGCGCAGCTCGACTCTTCGCCCGGCACTCGAGCGCTCGGCCTCATCACTCTGGGAGCCCCTGCCGCTAAGAGGGCGGCTCTCTCTGTGATCAGCCTTGAAGTTGCCAGACTTGCCCACACAACCGATAGTCTGCACTTGTGCCTGCTGGGCAACTGGACTTCCAGCTTGCTTTACAGGCGACAGCTCATGTCAGTGCTCGCCAGGAGTTTTGGTCTTGTCCGAGCGCAGGATTTAGGCCGCATTCCTCGTGTCATTGGCCTTCCCAGGTCTGTTGCCCAGGAGTTGGTCCTGCTGGCCATCCTGGCCCCGCTTGCTGTGTCCAATCTTGGTGCCGTCCTGGCAGACAGTCTTTACGCCACCGACGCTTCCGAGCAAAAGGGTGCTTTCGTGAGTTCCACCGCGCCCCCCTTTCTGGTCCGGTCACTTTGGCGCACTGGCTCTAAGAAGGGTGGCTACTCTCGCATTTTCTCTCGTGAGGAGGCACTCCTGGCTAAGCACCTTGATCCTGAGCCCTACGATCTTCGCTTGTTGCAGAGCCAGACGTCCGTGAGCCCTAGCCGGCCCCTGGCTTTCAGGTTCGACTTCATTGAGGTTTTCTCCAGTTCTGGTAGGTTGACTGAGGCACTTAGCGCTAAGGGCTGGGTTGTAGGTCCTCCTCTTGACATTGCACGAAGTCCTGCCTATGACTTGCAGAACCTCCGCGTGCTTGACTGGTTGTTGCACATGTTGGAAGGTCGCACCCTCCGCAGCTTGGCTTTGGGGCCCCCTGGCTCCACCTTCTCGTGCGCAGCCTCTCCCAGCTTGAGGTCTGATGCTGAGCCTAGGGGTTTCTCGCCGTCTGAGCCACGCACGCTTTTGGGCAACACTTTGGCGCTTCGGGCTCTGACGCTTGTGTTTGTTGCCCTTCGGATGGGCGCCGTTGCCTTGCTTGAGCAGCCCCGGAAGTCCAAGATGGCAAGGCTCAGTGAATGGAAGCGCTTGCTCCTGTTGGGGGCCTATGAGGTCTTTTTGGCCTCCTGTTCTTTTGGTAGCGTCCACCTGAAGGAATTTCGATTCCTGGTGGTCAACGCAGATTTCTCCCATCTGCAGCAGCCGTGCACAAGGAATCATTCCCATGTAAAGATCCAAGGGAAGCACACAGCAGCCTCCTCCGTGTACGTGCCTTTCCTTGCAGATGCCATTGCCCACGAGTTTGACCAAGCACTTAGAGCGCAGGCCCATGTGGGCCGCTGCACAAAGCCTAAAGGCTGAAGGCCTTGAAAACTTCGTTGTGAATGATGTTGTGTTGTCTCTGCCGTGGAGAGTTGGGAAGGCATGGGCTTGGAGGGCCATGTCCCACATCAATATCTTGGAGCTCGCCTCGGTCCTCCGCTTGCTGCGCTTCCTGGCCCCTCATGGGTCCCTCCGGATCGTGGTGTTTGTAGACTCTGCTGTTGCACTCCAGGCAGCCTCTAAAGGCCGCAGCCCCTCAAGAGGCTTAACGCCCATCCTCCGCAAGGTCGCAGCTGTCTGCTTGGCTGCAGACCTGTATCCAGTCTTCCACTTCTGCCCTGCGTGCCTGAATCCCGCTGACTGTCCTACTCGTGACACGCTTTTGCCTCCGCCTTCTGACCATGCAGTGTGGCCCGAGTTGACTATTGATCAGCTCTATGAGGGCCTTGCAGCCACCAAGGTGCGCCGTTGGCTTGCAAACTGGGAGCGACTTGTGTGTCTCCTTGCAGGGCCTCCGCCAGGATTGTCACCTGAGCTTGACTGGCGTGACTTTCGCCACTCATCCCGCCTTTTTGACTCAACTTTAGGGTTCCCTGGCGAGGGTCCCTTCCTCGCCTCCCTCGCCTTCTTCTTTTGCGGCCGCCTCTTGTGTCTTTTCTTCCTCTTCCTCGCCTCTCCGGGTTCTTCAGGGTGTTCAGGGTGGGGTTTTAAAGGATGCCATGGCATGCTGCTCCCCCGCGACCGCACAGACCAAGCGCGACAGGCTGCAAGAGAGCACAAGACACTGGCTGAAGGAAGGCCTGTCGAGGAGCCGACTCAGCGTAGACGTCAGAAGTTTCTGGAGGCTTTTGAGCGTTGGCTGGGCGCCCGTGGTTTCGACTTCAAGGTGCTCCTGACACAAGGGTTTGAAGGGGCCCCCGAGATGAACCGTCTGCTGACCGACTTTGGCCGTGAGCTTTTTGCTGCTGGCTGGCCTTATTCTCACTACTCGGAAACCATTAACGGGGTTGCTGCTTTACAGCCAGCTTTGAGGCGTGTTTTGACACCAGCTTGGGATTTAGCGTTTTCGTGGCGCATCACCTTGGCATGCCTTGGCAGGTGCTACTCGCTTGTGTCTCAGTTGCCCTTCTTTGGGGCTGGGTCCCCGTTGCCGGGTTGCTGGCTTTAACGTGGGGTGGCGTCATGCGCGTGGGCGAGGTTCTCGGTGCTACGAGATCTGATCTGACATTGCCAGCCGATCTTGGTGGCACGATATGGTTTGCGCTGCTGTCAATCGCGGAGCCAAAAACAAGGTTTCGTGCTGCCCGACACCAGGTCGCTCGCTTGGACCAACCTGATTTGCTGCGAGTTGTCACCATGGCTTTTGGTCACTACGCCCCCGAAAGGCGCTTATGGCCTTTCTCTCCCTCGACTTTGAGGAGCAGGTTCTCCGCAGTGGTCAAGGCCCTCTCTTTGGACCGACTTCCAGGAGGCAAGCAGTTGGACCTTGGCTCCCTCAGAGCGGGAGGGGCTACGTGGCTCCTTCACCAGACTGAGAACAGCGAGCTCGTCAGGCGACGAGGCAGATGGCTAAATCATCGTTCAATGGAGATTTACGTCCAGGAAGTGGCGGCGCTACATTTCTTCTCGACAGTCCCAGCCGTCGCCAAGACCAAGGTTTTGTCCTTGCTGGAAGGATTCCAAAATCTCCTGTTCCGTGCAGAAGCGCTTCAGCGTGCAGGGGTCCCCCCTGCTGTTTGGTTCAATCTCTTTCGCCTGGGTTAGCAGCCGCAATGGTTGGAAAGGTTGGGTGTGGCGAAAATCGCTTTGGGCATACTACCAGGAGCTACTTCAGACTCTGGTGCAAAACAGAAGTTGCACCGTTGCCGCTTGGTTAGCATGAACACCTGACCTACAGGTGCGATTGCGTTCTCTGCGGCTGCTCAAGCATCCCGCCCTCCACTCCCGCACCCGGCGAAAATCGCTTTGGGCATACTACCAGGAGCTACTTCAGACTCTGGTGCAAAACAGAAGTTGCACCGTTGCCGCTTGGTTAGCATGAACACCTGAATAGGGTTAGAAACACAAGATAGAACTTTTTACGCTGTGACACGCATCCGCCCGATGGATCCAATCTTTTCCCACCCGTAGTGACCCGTAGTGACCCGTCGTGACCCGTAGTGAGTGGGGGTGGGCGGTCCTCTCGATCAAGCCATGACGCGCCTCACATCTTCCGTCGTAACGCGCGGATCTTGCAATCGAGCTTGTTTGACACGTAGTGACCGTTACAGCAGCATCGCGACGAACAGAGTCGAATCGTAAAAGCACTGCAAACCACACGGCGTGAAGAACACAACAGAATTTTCAGCTACGAACATGCAGCTGTTTTTGCTCTATCCCGAAGAGGCTGCTTTTTTTGGGGCGAAAATCAGCATTTTCAGCTACGATCAATCGTGCAGCTGTTTTTTCCTCCATTGGCAGAAAGCCTAAGGGGAACATCCTTCAATTAACCCGTTATCTGCTTCCTGCTCTGTGCGCTCTTGTGTGTAGTATTAAGAATTCTTAAACCAATTAACTTTTTTTTCCAAAATGGCTCTTTAAGTAAAAGGGTTGAGAAAAGGTGTTCATTGCTGCAAAACGCTCAACTTGACTCCAAAACAGGTCAAAAACACAGCCTCATCGTTTCAAAAAACGGTCCATTAAATTAGACTTAATAGTAACTCAATGATAACTCAATAATGATTCAAGATTCAATAATCATTCAAGATAACTCAAACATAACTCAAAATGATTCGTTGTAACCGCGTTTTGACCGTAGTGACCGCGTTGTGACCGTAGTGACCGCGTTGTGATGTGTCCGCGTTGGGCGCGTTGTGAGCGTTAACCGTGTTGTGTCCGCGTTGTGCGTTGTAACCGTGTTGTGACCGTGTTGTGTCACGCGTTGTGACCGCGTTGTAACCGGCAATGGCGGCAGCAGTGGCATGGCGGCATGGCGGAGCAGTGGCAGAGCCGCCAAAAGTTTGGCATCTCTCCCCCACACACCTTAATCGAAATGCACTTCAACAACTTTCTTTGTTAACGTTAGAAAACGCAGCAACAGGCAGCAGAGCTGCAGGACAGGACAGCAGTGGCATGGCGGAGGCAGAGCAGCAGTGGCGGAGTGCAGTCCAGCTTCCAGCTTCCACAGTCCTGACTTCCAGCAGCTCCAGATTCCAGCTCTTCAATCCAGCTCGAGCTCCGGTTCAGAAAGCACGTTCAAGACAAGACCTCAAATTGTCTACCTCCAATGTTTTTAACAGGCAGTCAAACGCATCGCCGCATCAAGCACGCGCCTCGGTAGCTGTTCTTCCGTTGCGCTGTACTTGTGGACTCTTCGTGACGGAAAGAAAAACAGCTGCACGATCGTTGCTTATTTTCGCATGCGAGTTGACTGCTGCGAGGCAGGTGACCGACTGGATGGTAATCAAGCGCCACGCACAAGTTAATCCAGGAACTTTGCTGACAAGGCGGAATCAGTGCTGTGAACACTTACAGGTGCAAGCACCACCCTGACCATTGCTCCAACTGGTCGTGCGGACCACTTGGAGGTTAGCTTGAAATGCTCGGAAAAACGATTGTGCTAGCGCTCGTTCTTCCGGCACGGAGTCACTGTTTTTTTCCGGCTTCCGTCTGCTCACGCGGAGTTGTGTAGCAACATCCAACTTAACAGCAACACGCAGCACTAGAGGGAAGTGGGCGGGCGCTTACAACTAATGGAAAAACAACAGCTTGCGCAGCGAATCGGGGCCATCACTGCTAACGCGGAGCAGCAATAACTTCCACTCTTCTCCGTTTGCTTTTCCTTTGCTTTTCAACCTTTAGAATGTCCGAAACCTCCAAGCCAATTTGCTTGCTTTTTCTTTGAAGAAAGGACTTTGGAAGCTTTGGAAATGTCGGATTGTGACAGGCAAGCCCGTAGCATTTAACGCGTTAACTGCTGCCTTGAATTCAAGTTTAGTGGAGGTGACCGCAAAGACTTTCTTTAGGCCCTTGTACTCTTGATTTGGGGCGACTTGGGAAAAGAAGTGCTGTTCTGTTTGGATAAGTTGGATGAGCGCTTCCGTAGCTTCTGCAAGGAAAGGTGTAACAGCACCCTTGCTTTTGATGCACCCCATCGTGCACCCAGAGTACAGTTCCAGCACAGTAAGGAAGTTTTTTATTGGTTTTTCTGGGTTTTAAAGGTATTTGTAACAGTTTTCATGCTGTTGAAGCTTTCTTAAGGTGTCTTACAGTGTGGGATACCTTTACCAAAGGAGACTTAAGGGGGCTTAAGGGATAGCAAGCCCTGTTCGCATTGCGAAGCTCTTGGCAGCTTTAAGCGCAAAGGTTGCCAATTCCTGTTATTCACCCGTGCGTCCGGCTAACAGAAAGGCACCCTTGCCCGAATCATAGCTTGGAGGGTAGATCTAGCTTGCGTGAGGTGTTCCAAGAACCTTGCCAGCGCAGGGGGTTTGGCATAAGCCGCAATGCTACCTTCATAAGCATGTCGTAGAAAAAGCATTGGTATCCACTCCAACAGCCCTTTGCAACAGGTGTTTGGTTTGCACAGTTTGTGCCTTGGGAGCCTGTGCTAAGTGGGTGCTGAAAATCTCCTTGGCTTCTTCCGCTAGCGTTGGTAAGGGTGGGTGAGCAAAGGCATGGCATGTCAGGAGGCGCAAAAGAGAATAATGCGCACTTTTCATGTCAATTTCAATGGCATTCGGTCCAATGGCCAGGAAGCGAGTAGCCTTTTGCTCGTTTGCCAGTGACGGATGGCATAGTATCGTCCTTGGGGATACGATGATGGCTTTCTGTACTGGACGAGCCCGGGCCAAGCCGTATCCAGTTCCGGCGGAGGTTTAATCCGATTGTATAGCCTGTAAATGCCATTGCCTGGACGGCAGCAGGACGGGCGGGAAAATGTGCCGTATTGATTTGCATATTGGGTTGACCTTCGCCCGAGTCGAAGAAGACATCCTCACAAAGAATTGCTTCAAAGCGTATGCTGTCGGCTGCAATCCCTGCTAAGTGATCAGCGACCTTATTACCGATTCGAGGTACATACGACCAATGAACCGTAATGGAGGTGTGTGTAAGCTTTTGCCACATTGCACCTAACTTTCGGACGAGGTCTTCCCTGTGGAGCCTTAAAGCCCCAGCGAAGTGTTTAACGATGTTGATGCAATCGCCCTGGATTACAACCTCCTCAATTTGATTGCGAGCAGCAAGGTTTAGCGCCTTGTCAAGTGTGGCCTCGGCAGCATGGATTTCTGCAAACATAGAATCTGGACAAGGCTGAAGCGGAATGGCAATCGTATCAAGGATAATTGGGACAGGTCCAGGCGACCATATGACCCCACCAGCACCACCAATGCCCTCTTGCACATGGCAACTACCATCAAATTGAGCAACAAGGTGCATGTCCTTGACCGGCTTTAATTCGACAATAAGTGGCGTGCGAGCAGGGATGGGCCTTACCGCAGTTACTTTTAGATGCAAGTTGCCACAGTGGCACATTTTGGGCCAAAGAGCGACGTTCGGGATACCCATGGTCTGTTGATACATGGGCGCAAGTAAGTAGTGTTGGGCATCCAAGGTCGCAATTACGTCTCCAATGTTGACATTTCTGGGAGATATGGTGACACCTTGCGCACTTGCTTTGACCAAGGCCGAAAGAGGGTGTTTGACTTCACGATACAGAGCCCGCCATCATTGCAACAGGGTTTGCAACGCTCCGTATCAACCCACCACGTGGGTAGCGCTTTGGGAAGCAGCATCCGCGGAATTGTATTCCAAAGGCGTGATGCAAGCTTGGGTATGTAATTTATATGCTTGGCACGCTGTGGTTTTTCACCCCATCCAGGGTGCCAGGTGCATTGCTCTTCCATGACATACCTGCGAATAGTGGCAATCCATGCCAGCAAGACAGCACAGAATCTTTTATCAACATCCTCGTTGGCATTGACAATAGGGAGTGCATTGTGACAGAGGGACTCTAACGAGGCAGTGCTAGCATAGCCCAGAGTGACTAAGACAATAAAAAGGGGGGCTCTGGTAACACCACAGGCAGTAAGCCAGTGTTCAGTGGTGTTTGTTCCCCGACCACAAAGCAAGCAGTGGCTCTGTGTGAAGGCACATTGATGTTCCTGCGGTTGTGCCGCTCTATATGTGATAGCTCTGAGTGGGGCGTCCGGCATTGCCGCGTCTTGCAGTAACGGAGCATGACTGACATCACAACAAGGTAGCATGCCGCCGATGGTTTGGGCAAGGTCATCGGGGCAGCCCTGGTTGAGATGACAGTGTTTGCAAATAGGCATTCGCCCGAATCCATTATCATATCGCAATTCCTTTCCCTTTTTGTCACGTAGACGGGCTCTACATCGTTCATCTCTAGAAGCAAATTGCCTGTGCACAAAGTACGCATCGGCTTCCTCTGCAATCGCCCATCTTAGAGCATAGCATCGGGTAACATCAGAGGCCACATTCTTGGGAGGGAGATTTAGAGCAAGCAAGATGGAGCAGAGCTGGCTTTCATGTGCGTGGTTCGCAACTTTTTGTCTGAGGTATCCTTGCGCCTCAACACACGCCGCGTTCCGCAGCACAGTTCTGAGCGCCATTTGTGCTTGTTTAAGCTTACGGCTATTTGAGTGCTGAGCAACATCCCTCGGAGGGACAGAGAGGGCTTCCTGACATTTTACTTGGAATTGCTCAACGATGGGTGCATCGCACAATGAAACGGACTTTTGAATGGCCTGTCTTGCTTGCAAGAGCAAGGACCTCACTGCAGGGCAGGGAAGGAAGTCCAAGGCCTAGAAAGGCCTGAGAGGCAAAGCCAAGCGGAAGCATCGATGCAACGGAATTCGTGCGAAACCACAGCAGAAGCGTCGCAGAGTTGACTCTAACCTTACCCCCTTCAAGCCTGTGTTGAACTTCAAGCATTTTGAGATGTCTTTTTTTTGCCAGCTTAAACATCAGTCTTAATGGAGCGGACTTTTCAGAAGACCAAATCAGAATGTTCTGCATCCCGTCGTGGAGCCGGAGCGCGGAGGCCGAAAGTTCCAAGCTGATTGCTGAATGTCTTCCTGCAAGCACACTGGTGAGGGTGTGTGAGAGCAAAATACAGTGCCTCATGACTCTGCCGTCTTTGGTTCGGCACGCAGTTGCGCAATCCTTTAAGGCGGCCTGGTCGCCCTTTGGCTCCACGGCGGGCGCGAGGAAGACTAAAATTGAAAATACGACTTATGACACACGTGGGCGGGCATGCAGGGTGTTGGCATCCGGACTTAGAAGATGTTCTTCTTTTTCATTTTTTGTCGCTGTGTCACCCTTTTTCTCAAGCCTCATTCTTTGGTGGATGTGGTGCCTTTCAAGTCTCTATTTTTATCGTGCATGCCTTGGTCTCGCTTGCTTTGGCAACTTCCACTGGCCTTCGCTGAGGATCTCTCTGCCACAGAGGATCGGGTCTTGTTTGGTGCCGGCGGTGTGGACCCTGCAAATCCGATGGCAATTCGCTGAAGCAGTGTGGCAGCTGCGTGCAATGCCTGTTCGCAGCAGTCCTGCGGCGGCGTCTGTCTTGGGCGCGAACATTGCCTTGCAGTCCCTACGATGTTGCCAATTGCACCCGAGTCTGAATCTGCTCCCATGTACGGTTCGGAAACAACACAGTCGGAAAAGGCTTGCAGAAGTGCATGGAGAAAAAACCAAGCTGTGGATTCCGCACGGCAGGCCTTCTCGGCCTCTGTGGCCAAGTCTGGTCGATTTACAACCTAGAGTGCGGGATGTCATGTCACGTGTTGTTGTTTCGTGTTGGAAGTCCTTCCGTTAGACTTCTCCCACTTGCCTCTGCCTGCCCTGAGGCTGAAGAGGTGGAGCTGCAAGTGCAAAATTGGCTTTTTTCAGAACTGCACTCGACGAACCTTGACGGCTTTGTGAGAAGTGGATGTGTGCATCCCTTTCGGCTTCTTCCGGCTCCAGATCGGGTTCTGCGGTGCGCAACTTGCTGGCGCGCCAATCCCTAAGGGCGTCCCGCCAGCGCATGCGATCTGTCCAGGTTGACTTTCACGAAAGCATTGATGGCGGGCGTTTGCTCCTTTCGGGCAGCTTCGAGGTTAGTTCGCCGGCACCCACTTGCACAAGCGTGACTTATCCACTAGTCCTTGTATCACGGGCAACCCCTCCATATACCGTGTGGGGGCAGGTGGGCCTTCGATATGCACGTTCCGCCAACAATGCTACGGTGGCCGCCGGGGGCCGTTGACCTGAAGATCGGTAATACGTTTCTCCGTCTCAGGAAACCCCAACACAATGGGCAGACCAGCTGCGCGCCCAGGGGGCCCTTTTTGGTGAGCTTCAAATGCCAACAAAAGGGCCCCCATCCAGTAGTCCGGATCGCTGTAACACAGCATCGCAGGGAACTGTGCGTTACCAACGCTTGGGATATCTGCCACAGCAAAGAACAAATCAGCGATGTACTGTGCAGTGGTAAGGAAGCCGTACCTTACGATGGAGTCCATGAGAGAAGCACGATCGAGCTGTAGGGCATTGCTGCCTAGCATTGCTTCCAAGTCCAAATGGTATAATGGGGTCGTAGATTTGCAGGTAGGCTGCTGGAAAGGTTTCCGGCAGGTGAAGGAGCTTGTCAGCGACTTCCAAGAGGTAGTCTGGGTCAGCTAACCCGCTTGGCAGGCTTTGTAACAGCTCCTCATAGGTACGGTAGGCACGGAGCTGCAGCTCATGCGTGGTCAAATGGTTTGAGTCGCGGAGGTTCATGTAGGGCCTGCCTGGGCTTCACGGTCCGTCCGAAGTGCCGTCCAGTTTCTAGGGCCTGCCATAAGAGCCCACTTACGGACAGGTTTTTTGCTTGTTCCAACAGCCCTTCCTGTGGCCCATGGGAGGCCGCACCCGCTGGGGCTCGGGCTTGTGGCTTCGCTCTGGCCAAGTCTGGCGCCTATGAGGGCCGTGGCTGCTGAATCTGTGAGAGCTCTTAGGGCCTTGTTGATCTGGAGCCGCTCCTCGGCATCCAGCGAGATGGTGAGGACGAAGGTGGTTGTGCTGGATCGATCCTCCTTCACCCTGCCAGTGCATGGAAGCGCAAAACCATTGCTGGCTTGAGAATGGCCCTCATACCTCCTTCGCATTGTTTTGAGCTAGAGCTTCTCCCTCTCTTGGCTTCTGAACCTTCTCCGGATTCCATCCAGTGTACATCCAGGTTCCTCTGTGAGCATCTTCTGCTGAGGGGCTTGGGCCGCCTTGTCGGTCTCCAATCTTTTGAGCCTGGCGTCCAGTTCCAGAAGGAAAGCCAATACTGCTTGCCTTGGCTGCGCGTGCACTGATTTTTCTCGCTGAGGCTCTAACTAGACACTGCAGTTTTTGCAATCAGTGGATCGCGAAAGCACATAGCCATGTGGAGCAGGATTAGGAAGTCTCGAAAGCCTCTGTGCCCATCAACAGTGCTGTACTCTTTCAGGCAGCCTTGGCCTCGGCATGGCATCAAGCGCGAGGAGATCTCTAAAGCGGTTTGATCTCAGACACAGGCTGATCGACATCCGTCAGCAAGGCAGCCTTGCACGGCTCGCTTATGCTAACGGTCAACGGGTTGATAGTGCATTAAAGTCTGAGCCTAGAGAAAAACCTCTTTGCTTTTCTTTGCTCGCTCGCCTGAGCTTTGGGAAAAGGGAAAACTTTCCTTCATCGGCCTTTTGCACTCATTTTCCAGTCTCTGACACCATTGCTTGCGCACGTTCGCCGGTTCAAGTGCCTTGTGAACAATGAGCATCTGCAAGTTCTTGGAGCTGACAAGTGTTTTGCATTAAGCTTTGAACACTAGACTCAAGCTTCTGCAATGTGTCAAAATTTCTAGATTTCTTGACAAGATTCTAGCTTCTCCGCCCGTGCGCGGTCCATGGACGCTGGCCTCACATCTGATCGCCTGCAGGTCCTCGAGACTCGCTTGGACAGTCACAGTCGTGACATTGTGCTGCTCGGGCGTGCCCAGCGTCAGCTTACGCATCGTGTTGTTTCCTTGGAGTCTAGCATAGCATCTCTTGAAACTCGTCTTGGAGATCTCGAAGCTGACCTCGAGCAGGCTTCCACAAGGTTGGCTGCGATCAATCATTTCTTGCACGTCTCCATAGGACGTCTAGCCAACTTGTTGCGTCGTTTGTTGCGGTTGCGCCCTGCTGGCTTCTGATGTCTGAAGACAGTGCTGCTGCCCCTAGCCATTGTCTCCGCTGCATCGGTCTTTGCACTTGCGCCACACCGCTGCTGCATGTGGTCAGACGATATGCCCTCCATCATCCCTTGGCTGGTCTTGCGGATAATTTGGGGTCTTTGGGATCCCTTGAGTCTCCGAGTTTGGCAGCGCCAGGTACCCCAGGACTGTTGGATGAGCCCGGCTCGCAGCCAGCGCCAGTTGAGCAAGGCCTCGTAGACGCCTCAGGCCCTGCATTGGACTTGACGGACTTGCTTGTTGGGGATGAAAGCTGCGGAGAAGGCCTTAGCGACTTTGAGGGCTTCGGAAGTCTTCGGGAAGGTTCTCCGGTGCCGAGAGAGCATTCTGTTCTTGGTGTTGGTACGAGTTTTCGCCGTCCGAAGAAGATGGGCATGCGGCGGTTCCTGAGTTCGAACTTTCCGGAGGTCCCAACTTTGTGGTGCCGACCCCGAAGCCAAGTCCATTGAAAGGTCGTCCAGACGTTAGATCGGTTGTTGAGCAGGTCGGGCTCAGAGTCGTTGATCCCGCTTCCCACCTTCGGGGCTTCCCTGGCAGACAGGCATTTATAAGGGTCTTTTCCAAAATTTCCCTGCGTTGTCGGGGGTGCCATCCACCGTTCCTCCGGCACCTGTCAGCCTGCAGATTGTGCCTTCAGAGCCCATGGGAGGCTCCCTCGCGAGGCCCGGACCTTCGGTGATGCCATGCAAAGCCTTACGTGCCTTCAGGTGCCATCATGACATTGCGTATGAGGCCAGGATAGAGGCGGTTTTGGAGAAAAGTTGCCTTAAGCTTGTCGAGTTTCTGAACTCCTTGGAGCTTAATGCCAGACCACATGCGTGGCCTGCCGGTCATGATGACCAGTGCATCTATGTCAAGGCCTGCCCTCGGCGTGAAGTCGCCATTCACTGTCGAGAAACGTGCAAATTCTTTGGTTCATCTCATGCGCTGGATGGTTGAGTGCAAAGGGCTCCTTGTGAGCATCACCGAGGAAGGGCTTTGGGATTACTTGTCATACTTGAAGGAACATGCTGCAGCAGCTTCCAAAGGACAAGCTTCAATATCAGGCATCCGTTTTGCATTGCATGTTCTGGGGGTGTGTTTCTCCGAGCACGTGTTGAGTCGTCGATGCATTGGTTTCGCAGAACAAATGGAGGCCCTATCACGGGAGTCTTGCCAGGCATCCTCTTTGTTGCTTTCAGAGCTTCTGGCATTGCACGGTCTGTTGAAAAACGGCGTGCTTGAGCCTTGGGACCGAGCTTCCGTGGCGTTCTTGATCATCTGTGCATATGCCAGAGCACGAGCCAGCGACCTTGTGAGAGTCCAAAGGTTGATGGCCGACACCGCAGATAAATTTGGGTTCCTTGAGATAATGCTCAAAACTCATAAAGGGGCTAGGAACCCTAAGCTTAAGTCCAAGCTCCTGCCCGTGATTGCTCCGTTGGTTGGGGTCGATGGATCCAACTGGTATCAAGATGTCAAGGCCGCTCTGGAAGCAGTGCTTGATGGCGACATTAACGGCCCTTTGTTCCGTCCTCCTAGCGACGGTGCGGGAGGAGCTCCAGGTTTGCGTGAGCTCCGCGCTCATGAGGTGACTGCTTTGCTGCATTCTTTCCTTGGGCAGCCCGATTCGAATCGCCGGCTGTCTTCGCACAGCCTCAAGGTGACCCTGCTTGACTGGACTTCAAAATTTGGCTTGCCTCCTCAGCAGCAGCATATCCTTGGACGTCATTGCGATGCTGTCAAGGGAAGTGCACCGTTGTACTCGAGAGACCTGGTTTACGATGCCACACGAGCTCTTCAAAGCGTCATCATGGAGGTGCATCATGCCCGTTTCGTGCCCGACGTGCCAAGGTCCTTGAGGTATCCACAGAGTGTCGCGCAGTCTCATGTTGATGTGATTGAGGTCAAGGACGAGCCTGCTGGCGAAGCTGAGCCGACTCCCAGGCAGGGTGCCAGAACCTGCTGAGCACGATGTCAGCCCTGCCTCAAGCTCCGATGTGGAGTCCTCCTCTAGCAGTTCATCCAGCTCCGACAGCGATGCACCTGCATCTTGCAAGAAGCTAGCGCGACCGGACTGGCCTGCGGAGATGACGCGTGTGCATAAGAAGACTCGTACCATGCATTTGGCTAAATCCTTTACGGGTGGAGGCACTGCAATCTTTGCATGCGGTCGAGCGGAATCCGATGCTTGCGAGGCTGGATGCGCTTTTGGCCCAGGACGGCGCTGTGAAGTTTGCGTTCGTCTTGGGGCTGATACATCTTGACATGGTTTCTGCAGGCCTCATAGGGCAAAGCCATTTTGACCTTGGTGGTACAGACTTTTGCGAAATCTTGTCTGGCCAGCTGGCGGATGCGCTTGCTGCCTGTGCCTCGGCAACATGGCCGGCGGATGCGCTCGAACAACATGGCTGTCGGATGCGGTTTCGCCACACAGTGGCACTGCAGTCTATCGGTTGTGTTTGGTGGTTGCACCAGCCGGCGGATGCGCCGATTGGCCAGATTTTTATTTTTCGAAAGTGGCGCGGCGGATGCGCTTGCGCAAGGCCTCGGCAACATGGCTGGCGGATGCGCCTCGACAACATGGCCATCGGATGTGCTGAGGCCACATGGCTGGCCTTGCATTCCCTGAGTTGTGTTTGGTGGTTGCACCTGCCGGCGGATGCGCTGAGCTGTCAGACTTTTTCGAGCAGATGTTTTTGAAAGCTTCCGGCAGCCCCCCACATCCCGTCGCCGCTGGGAAAAGTTTCATGTCTTCTTGCAAGAGCATGCGTGCAGCGGCAGCTAGACGCTGATGAGCCATGAAGATTTGCTGCCCTGATGTTCTGCCTAAATCTGTCAGTGCATGCTTCAGTCCTTTGCTGTCGAGCTCCCAGCTTAGGCCGCCCTTTGGAAGGGCTGCGTGTTCTTCTGGACAGTGAAGCTCATTTTGAAAAGAGGGCCTCCGAAATCGGGATGAGTGGGGCCAGCTTGCAAGCTTTGCAGGCTCATGGGGTTGCAACCATGGGTAACATTGCACACATCATTGGGACTCCGGGCCAGCCCCTTGCCGATGCCGATGTTGAGGTTTTGATGAGATTGCATCTGCCTGCTGCGACCCTCGGCGATCAGGCCTCGCTCCGCCGCCTCATCTGGGAGGGGCGGGCATTGGCCACAGCAGAGCTCAAAGAGCAGCTAACCCACCCCGATAGTTCAGCCCAAGAGAAAGTTCCGGAAGCTGAACGCTCCCGACGGATGGCGCATCTGAAAGCTTCGTTGCCGGGTCTGGCTTTGGAAGGTCCCCTCGAGCCCTCTTTCAGTCTGCTTGATAAAGCAGCTGCCATCGAGAGAGAAAACCAGCTTCGTTTTCTGAGCCCTGATGTTTGCGTGAGTCGGGCCTTCGAGGTCACGAATGCGCGACCCGACAAGAAGGTCCTCGAGCTTGATGATGCCAAAACGCTGTCTGTCTCCAGCCAGCCTGATGTGCCCGATAGCCCGCCGTGCTCGGCGCTGCAGCTGCAGGAAGCCCTTTTGAGGCGAGGCGTTGCTTTTGCTTTTGCACAGATTGTGTCCTTCACGTCTTATCAGAAGTATGTCACACTCCTCTTCCAGCACTTGGCCCGTGATCCGCCCCCTGATTACCAGAGGTGTTCGGTCAGTCAGTTAGCCAGGGCGGACCGTATGGTGTTTGAGCGTCTCATCGCTGCTGATGTCAAGCCCCGGCGCGATCCATCCGGCGTTTATGCCTTGGACACCAAGATTTTGGAAGCTCTTGAAAGCTATCAGGTCAGCATGCTTTTGATGCCTTTGGTGGCTCAGCGTCCTGATCAGCGTGGGCTGAAGCGCCCCGCTGCTTCTGCGTCCTCGGGGCAATTCGGGCGTGCGCGGCCTGGTTCCAAATGATCCAAGGGCCGCGGAAGAGGGGCCCCTGCAGGAAAGGGCAAAGGTCGG